CCCGCGCTTCTGACTGTACCCAGTGCATGTATAAACAAACAAACAAATAAATAAATAAAAAAAACATGCCTTTATAAAAAAAAAAAATAAAAAAAAAAAAATAAATAAATCTTTAAAAAAAAAGAAATATGTATTATATATAATCTGGGCTTGCCTCAAACATTATGCTTTGTACTATAATATTTTTTAAACAAATTTGTTTGGAAGGAAAACAAACTACTGCATGAAATGTGTGCATTAAAGTATATATACATTTTTTAGAACCACGAAGATATTGAAAAAAATACATATCTTAAATTACAAGAAATACATTAACTCTTTTTACTTTGAAATGTTTTAAACTTGTTTTAGTGCTATGCTCTGGGAAACATACTATCATTTTGGTTATGGGAAGTTTAAGAAAAGTAGAAACTTTTGAAAAGAGGAAACACCATTTTCATTGATTTAAAACAAAAATATTACTGTTTTCTGTATTTAGACCTTCAAAACACCAAACAAGTAGAAGGTAGTTCTTGAGGAGTAGGGAATTCAGTGGTGGGTTTCAAAAATTGATTGAACACACTTTTGCCAAGTAAACTTCTAATCTTACTTTCTAGGCTATGAGTATTGGTGATCCTTTTTTTTCTCCCAAAGTAAATTTAAGTCCTCTTCAAAAACTTTTAAAAACTGAAGAACTGTTTGAATTAAGACAAGATTCTCTGGTCTTACATGTATTTATTAGTTTGTTGATTTGGTATAATAAGTTAAAATTATACATAAATTTTTCTTAGCAAAGACAGAAATTCAAAGGTGGCAAAAAGTAGAGAGGAGAGTGTCAGAGACCTTTTCATGGAAAAGCCAAGTAAATTACCAGATTTTAGGAAGGAATTCCTATGCACAGGTTTAATCCATAACCTGATTTCTAAAAATGTTTTATGGTCTATGACATTTGTAGATATTTTGAAGGTGCTTATTATTTGGCAATCTAATTGAATATAGTGACCATGCTGTCTCTTTCTTCCTCTGATAAAATGTATCTGTTGACAGTGGGATCTGTTCCATTTCTCAGAAGAAATTTGATTTTATCAGATTTATTTAGAAATGTCAATTTCTTGACTGACTCAGGTGGTCAAGTTGCTTCGGAGAATTTTATTGTTACATTCAGAAGATAGCTACTGTCTTAAAAGATCTAACTCTACCTCTATAAAACATTCACTGTCTTTCCAGGCATAATTATCCTTTTCTCTGTACTTTCTCTGTACTTCCACTCTTAGCTTAAATTGCTCTACTATATTATATTTAATATTACAATCTCATATTTTGGGGTATAATTATTTGTTAACTAGCTTATTTTCAGCAGAGTATATTTTCAGTAGGTAACAGCAGGCACCATGTTTACTCATCATTTGTAGTCTGTAGCATGCTGACTCCCCATGATGAGTTTCTTTTGGACCTATTAAACTTAAGAGATACTGATTATTCTGCAAGAAGTTAGGAGGAGGAGCTGGATCTCAGAAACCTTAGGAGTAGGACTGTAAATGTATAATTTTATAGATAAGTTTTTCTATTTATAGGGTTTTTTTTAAGATTTATATTTATTTATGCATACAAAAGCTGGGGTGTAGGCTAGAGGGATGAGAGGACTCCCCAGAGACAGAGTCGGGGGCCGAACAGGCTGATTGACTGAAGTACACTGCTGAGGGGAGCAGCGGGCAAGACAGGAGAAGGTCAACTATGCCATGTGGGTTAGCTCCCTGGCCAGGAATCAAACTCATGTTGCAGTGGCTGTGGATAGCTTCATAGTGCCACCAGGGAGGTCCTAGTTTCGTTTTTTTTTAAAAGATTTATTTATTTTTGCATAGAAGAACTGGGTGTAGGCCGGAGGTTGTGGTGGGGAGGGGTGAGAGGATCCACCAGAGACAGAGTGGGGAGCAGAGCAGGCAGATTGACTGAAATACATTGCTAAAGGGAGCAGCAGATGTGAGACAGGAGAGGTCTGCCCTGCCCATGTATAGGTTAGCTCCCTGTTTGGGGATTGAACTCAAGCTACAGCAGTGATAGCACTGAGACTTACCCTCTAGGCCACCAAGGAAGCCCCAGTGTCCTTGTGATTACTTTTCCTATACTCCTTGTACAGAAGGAAGTCTAGAGTTACTGGTTAACCCTAATTACAGTTCCTTCTTCCTTTAACTAGCATCTCAGTGCAGATGAGTAGACAACTTTGAGTATAGGAAAGTGAAAGGAAAGCATAATGTTCTGTTTACTTTATCATTCTACACGCAACCTGGCTTTATCTTTTAAGATCTGCTTTTTTATATTATACTGTCTTTTATTGTAATAAAATATATATAACATAAAATTTGACACTTTAACCACTTTTTTTTTTTTTTTTTTTTTTTTTAGAGGCATGTATTTTATTCATTTATTTGTTTGTTTATACATGCACTGGGTACAGTCAGAAGCACGGGAGGGTGAGAGAATTCACCAGAGCCAGAGCGGGGAGCAGAGCAGGCAGAAGGACCGAAGTACACTGCTGAGGGGAGCAGCGGGCGGCAGGAGAGGTCTGCGCGCCATGTGGGACCCTCCTCCGGTGGCCGGGGAGCAGCCGGGGATCGAACCAGCACCGCAGAGGCCGCGGGCAGCTTCGCAACCCAGTGCTCAACCGCTGCGCCACCGGGGAGGCCCACACTTTAACCACTTTTAAGTGCATGTTAATTACATTGACATACTGTGCAACCACCACCATTATCTGTTTTCAGAATTTTGCATCATACCGAAGAGAAACTCTATACCCATTAAGCATTTACTCCGTTTCCCCTCTTCTCCAGATCCTGATAACCTCTTACCTGCTTTCTGTCTCTCTGGATTTGCCTGTTGTAAATACTTCATTTACATGGAATAGTCTATACAAGGCTCATAATGCATCTCAGCTTGATTGTTACAAGGGCAGTTTTTGGATGGGTCATGAAATGCTTTTTAAGTTGCCAAGAGTTAACTCTCCTAACATTTTTGTTTTTTTCTTATAATACACATGTTAGCACCAAGTTAACTTACCCAGTCGAATCTACTACATAGTGGAATCATATTCTTTACAAATTTAACTTATGCAAATTCAACTCTTAAAATATAGAAAGTGCATGTGTGAAAACGAAATAATTTAAATAGCGCATGTTCAGCCTTCCTTTCAGTTTCAGACAGTGGATGAATTCAAATCCACTTCAAATTGGTGAAAACTAGAAAAAGAATGTGAAGATAGTTTTAAAGGTTTCCCACAAATTGATAAGGCATGTTCATGTCATTATGCAAGTGGGTGGGAGAGCTTCTGTAACATTTACAAGAGCTATTGGAAGTTGAGAAATTAATACTTAAAAGAATTAGAGGAACTGACAAAATCTTGTCCAAAGAATGATATGAGAACAAGTTAAAAGTTTCGTAAATTTAGTGTTCAAAACAGTGAAACACCTTACTGATTAAATTTCTGAGTGTACTGTATGGATTTTCAGTGATTGTTTTTACATATACTATTGCCCCCTTAAAATCTGTCCCCTGCTATCCCACAAAATGGTATCTGTACTTATTTAATTCAGTAGTGTAAATTGAGCAAGATAATGGGTAATTTCATTAAGAAGCTAGTTCTGTGGCTGATAATTCCTTTTTTTTTTAAAATGTGGACATGAACTTCTTTCCAATAAAAGTCTTTGAGTTTAAAATCTAGATTCTACGACAAAGTGACTATTTCTTGACCAACCTTGTAATTTGTACCATCTCACACCATTTTGCTTTGGTCATAGCATCTTTTTCCACCCATTTATCCATGGCTTAGATAATTACTATCTTGGGATTGTGTAACTACCAAGTAAAAAAACATAAATGGCTATACATTTTTTTAAAAAAGATACTATATTAGTTGTACCAAATATGTGAAGTACACTTTTCTTCTGTGATCATAGGTGAACATGATTAAAGATGATGGGACAGTTATTCATTTCAACAATCCCAAAGTCCAAGCTTCCCTTTCTGCTAATACCTTTGCAATTACCGGTCATGCAGAAGCCAAACCAATTACAGAAATGCTTCCTGGAATATTAAGTCAGCTTGGTGCTGACAGCTTAACAAGTCTTAGGAAGTTAGCTGAACAGTTTCCTCGGCAAGGTAGGTATTTCAATTTAGTACCTCTTTCCTACCAGCATTGATTAAAGAACCTAATTATTTTAAATGTGTCCCATTTGAAACTGGAAGGATTTGGCTGTATGTAAATTTTACTTTTTGTAATGTTATTTGTATGCTTCATATATTTTTGAGTTTGTTTCTTTAATAATTTTGTAGTGTGGCATACAGAGTATTTGGCTATGTTTTGGTAGTAAGCTGATCCTTAACATAGGTTTGAACTGCATGGGTCCCACTTAAATACTTAGATTTTCTTGTAAGCATATTATGTAAACTTATATTATCAGTAAATACAGTCTAGCGCTATAAATATATTTTCCTGAGTGTTTTCTCTAACTTTATTGTGAGTACACAGTATATAATACATATAATAAACAAAATATGTGTTAATCCACTGTTTATGTTATTGGTAAGGCTTCTGGTCAATTAATTAATAATTAATTAATTATTAATAGTTAAGTTTAATAGCAAGCTATTAATAGTTAAGTTTTGGAGGAGTCAAAAGTATGCACAGATTTTTGAGTGGAGAGGGAGTTGGCACTACTAACCCCTGAGTTATTCAAGGGTCAACTGTATAGAGAGGTAAGAGGTAATTACAAATGGTCCTCAACTTAATGTGATAGTTTTATTTTATGATCATGCAAAAGCAATACATATTCAGTAGAATGTACTTCAGATTTTTAAATTTTCATCTTTTTCTGGACTAATAATATGTAATATAATACTCTGTAGTGATGCTGGGCAGCACCAGCAAGCTGCAGCTCCCAGTTAACCACCTGATCCTTCAGAACGTTAGGTAATAATCTGAAGACTGTTTTTCACTTTCAGTACAGTATTTAATAAATTACCTGAGATATTCAGTGCTTTATTATAAAATAGGTTCTGTGTTATATGATTTTGCCCAATTCTAGAATAATGTAGCTGTTCTGAGCAGGTTTAAAGAAGGCTAAACAAAGCTATGAAGTTCAATATGTTAGGTGTATGAGGTACATATTTGACTTAAAATATTTCAACTTATAAATATTATAAATATATAACCAGGATGTAACCCCATGAAAATTGAGGAAGATCTGTACCTAAAGGAAAGTGCCAGGGTGTGTAGGCCACATTTTATAAACAGTTTGATATTCACTTTTGACTAATGACAACAGCAAGATAGTGTTACCATAGAACTGTATTCTTGCTTAATATACTGGTTGTTTTATATATATATTTGTGCTATAGATGCAGCAACCATAAGTCCTGAGTTTCTAAGATTGTCCTGGTTTCAGATGTGTCTTGTCACCCCTGAAAAGCAAAGAAACTTATTTCAGTGCTCATAGTACATAGCTATATTCTTTCTTACACCAAAAGAGATGGAAAAAACCTTGAATATTATTTTTTTATTTGGAAAAATATAGCCACTAGAAGCTAACTAAATGTTTTTATTGAAATTCATCTGAATTTTTCCATCTTGCATATAAATTTTACCTTCACTGTTCACTGAAATTGCCAGCTGTATTTAGTATATCTAAGTTAAAGTTTTGTTGATTGTATAGTATCAAGTAAAAAATATGGTATTACAGTGGACAGTATTTAAGTCTTTTCTGAACAACTATATAACAGTTAGCCAAGAAAAAAGATATACATAAGTATTTTGTAAAGGTCTTTGTTATCATTGACCATTTTTAAAATCAACTTTTTGTAGTATTGGATAGCAAAGCACCAAAACCAGAAGACATTGATGAGGAAGATGATGATGTTCCAGGTAAGTGACATTTCTTTAGTTTTAATATTTTTAGTATCTTGCCTATCTGATTTCATTCATTGTGTAATGACTTTCAGTTTTTGGTTGATAAGAACTTGTGAATTTGAATTGATTCACAGCAATATGGGTACAGTCTAGTGAAAAAGAATGGAAGTTCTTTCATTAGAACTTGGAACTCTTTCATTAGTTCTTTCATTAGAATCAGAAGTTATCACACAAAGTTTTGCCTACCTTTATTAAATTACAATCACTATGATTATAAATTTACAGAATTATTGTTATATTTCTATGGGAATTACGATTGACATATGGAATGTTGTTCACCTTTTGTGTTTTGCATAGACAAAAATATACTAACATTTCCTTCGGGTTACTATTTTAAGCAGATAAGTTACTGTTTATGAAATGCCACCAGTTTATTTCTGCCTCTTGTCCTTAATGTTTTGAGGCTATTTAATAGCAACAACTTTTTTTAATTGCTGTTATAAGTTAAGAATTTGATTTATTTACCTCACTTTGGCAGCACATATGCTAAAATTGGAATGATACAAAGATTAGCATGGCCCCTACACAAGGATGACACACAAATTTGTGAAGCAGTCCATATATTTTATTTTTATTTCATTTATCTTTTCCTTTTTGTGTGTCTTAACTTTTCTTTTTTCTTTTTTTTTTTTTAGATCTTGTAGAAAATTTTGATGAAGCATCAAAGAATGAAGCTAACTAAACTGGATTTTGGAAGCTGACATGGACTAGATTTAACAAATCAGCTATGTGGTTCCAAAGTTTTACAGACACAGAGAACATCAACTGTTACTAGTTCAGTAATATAAATATTTTGTATATTAATAATGCTGTTTGTTCAGCATTTTTCGGTCATTTGATTTTGCATTTTGCACTTCCTCCCAGGATCTGTTCTTTTGGTCAGAATACGAAGTATTGGTGCAGTTTGAGGGTATTTTGATTTTTGATTCTTGTTTTTTTGTTTTGTTGGGGTATTTTTGGTGTGTGTATGTGTATGTATGCGTGTGTGTATGTGTGTATACAGTGAAGAACAAATTGGAAAACAGTTCTATTTATCCTCCTCCTTCCCCCAGTAGAAATAAAATAAATCTTTACATTTGTTACTTTTTTTTTTTCCTAATAATGCACAGAATTCATGAAAAGTGAGTATTTCAGATTTAAAATCTGAGGAGATTTTACCCTTGGTGGTTTGGTTTTAATTTGCTTGGTTAACATATTTTTCATACATTTCTCTGGGCTTAAGATGTCTTGAGATACTTGCCATCAGTTTCATGCCGGCATAATGGGTACTGTATCTTTGGTGTGGTTGCCTTAGATTCCCTTGACCTAATCAGACCCAAAAGAATCCCTCTCCTTTTGGTCTCCAAGTGGCCCAATGAGCCTTTAGTAATACTCTTCCTCATCTTCCTTGTAGCTTGAGTAGAGTGTTCTCCATGTAGAGTTGAGTGAGTGCCTAATCTCTCTTTTTGTAAGACTTTGTTCCTTCATCTTAAATAACAATTCCATCTTCAACTTTTTATTTCCCCCTTGATTTTACAGTTTGGCAGATTTCACTGGAATAGCTAGCATGTGCTTGCTAAATAATTTTATGGCAGCTTTATTCTGTATCCTAGCTTTTCTTAATAGCAGGTACAAAAATGCTTTTTTTCAGTAAGTTTGAAATTGGGAATATCCTTTTGAATCAGAAAAAAACATAGGTCATAGATTCATCCCCTAGAACAAATGAGCATTCTATGAAATGGTACTGTCCCCAGGAGGATTTCTTCAATCATCCTCCTACTCTTGGCCTTGAACCTACCTCTGGGTTGGATCTTACTCTTGTAGCTGCTTATAGCATTCTCCTGTATGCTTAGAGTAATGCTTTGGGTGGTGGGATTATCACTGTTGAAAACACAAGATGTATTTTTTAACCTCCTTTCAGAGGACTTGGAGGTAAGTTTCATTCATTAATTCATGTTTCCCGTTTCCCTCTTGAGCTCTCTGATGATAAAAGCTTGCATTTTACTATCAGCATTTGTTATAGCCAATATTTAAGGATAACATTTAGAAAATATATTATTTTCTGACTTATCAAACTGACTTCTTAACCTTGCTTCATATCAAATTTTTTCCAAACTAGATATCTTTGATATCTAAAGTACAAGACCAGCAACATATCAAGAAATCTGTATACAAGGAGGCACAGCTCTTGTATTTTTTTCATCCAAACACCTCAATTTATTTTATACATTTGTTCATTTTTCCTGCTATGTTTTAAATATATGGAATTAACTACAAAATAAAATAACAGTACAAAAGAGGATAACATTTCCTCCTGTGCTTCTCTGATTGTTGTCTACAGAATTTACTTCTTTCACTATGTTCCCTCAACTCCCTACTACCAAATGAATTTCAGCTTAGTCATTATTTGAAATGATATTTTATCCAGTTAGATCAGCACCTCTAAATGGTCTGTAATAGTTTGGAATGCTGTTCCTCTGACTGTCCCCAAGGGGTATGTCGTGGGGCAGAGAAAGTGTGTGAAGGTGGTGGGGGACTTCTTATGGTTAGGGACATATGAGAAGCAGAATAGCAAATGAAAAAAAAGCACTTATTTGGAAGTCAGGAGACTGATCCCAATTCAGATTCTGGCATTAATTACGCGCCCTTTGTTAAATTACCTAACTAGTCTGAAACTTATCATCAGTCAAATAAGATGGTTCTAAATCTTACCTGTTTATACATCTTTCTCTTTTTTCACAATTTATTTACCCAGAGGAACTTTGGTCAATATTTGCTTTATTTTGTTGATGATGATTTTTTTTTTTTTAAGATTTATTTTATTTATGTAGGGCTGAGGGAGCTCAGTGTTTTTGAAGAAACAGGTAGGGCTACAGTGGAGTGAGGAGGGTAAGAGTGGAGTGAGAGACTGAGAGGAAGAGAAGGATGAGGCCCCCATGAGCACTGCAGGCCATATTAAGTATTTTATTTATTTATTGTTAAAGATTAATCATGCATACAAGAACTGTGGTACAGACCGGATGTGCGTGAGGGTGAGAGGATTCACCAGAGACAGAGTGGGAAACAGAACAGGCAGACTGACTGAAATACACTGCTGAAGGGAGCAATGGGCAAGACGTCTGTCTGCCGTGCCATGTGGGTTATCTCCGCGGCTGACTGGGATCAAACCCGCAGTGTGTAGGCTGCAGACAGCCTCACAGCGCTGTGCTCAACCGCCTGCACCACCAAGGAGGCCCTATTTTTATTATTTTTAAATTTTTTTTCCTAAAGATTTATTTATGCATACAAGAACTGGGGTACAGGCCAGAGGTGCAGGGGTGTGATAGGATTCACCCAGAGACAGTAGGGAACAGAACAGGCAGGCCTACTGAAATACACTGCTGAGGGGAGCAGTGGGCGAGACAGGAAAGGTCTGCCACACTATGTGGGTAGCTCCAGGGCCGGCCAGAATCAAACCCGTGCTGCAGAGGCTGCGGACAGCTTCACAGCGCTGCACTCAACCCGTTGCACCACCGGAGAGGCCCTCATATTTTATTTTGAGAGCAATGGATAACCTCTGAAGAATTGTAAAGCAGAGGACTTGCATCATTAGAGTAGCATTTTTAAAAAGTCCCTGTCTTTTCAAACGACATTAGTGGGCACTTGAAGCCACACTGTAGTAGTTTCTGCTCTACTGTGGCCTGGTTCTGCCTATCAGTCTTTATCAGATACCGTTCCTCATTTCCATATGTGTCTTTGCAAGAAACTCTATTATTTATGATAATCTAAGTGGATTACTTTTTTTTTAAAGGTTTATGCATACAAGAACTGGGGTGTAGGCTAGAGTTGGGGGGGGTGAGAGGAGTCATCAGAGACAGAGTAAGGAACAGAACAGGCAGATTGACGGAAATACACTGCTGAGGGGGGGCAGCGGGTGAGACAGGAAAGGTCTGCTGCGCTGTGTGTTCAGTTCCCTGGCTGAGGATCAAACTTGTGCTGCAGTGGCTGCTGATAGCTTCATAGTGCTGACACTTAACCCCTAAGTGGATTCCTTAACAATCCAGAAAAGCTTAATTAATACAACATATGGGACTCAGATGATAATTTCTCACTGAAAGATAGTAATTAGTGTCATCATTCTATGACCTTTAGAAACTGAGATACAGAGATGAATTCATCTGCCTCAAATCTCATTGTAGCTAGAATTTGAATCCTTTTCCAGAATCCTGGCTTTTCCACCACCCCACTGTTTCCCTCAACATAATACTAAGCTAAGATCTTTAAAATTTCTTAATGCAAGTGGGAAAGAAAGGTATAACAAAGGGATTCCTAACTTTAAAGCCGATCCTTGTCCTTCTATGCCAATGTATTTACCTTGTGTGTATGTGCTTTCTCCACCATCAAAATTTTTATAAGGTACATGCAAGCAGAGACCACCTCTCCTTCACTGGTCTCTTACTCAGGCTCTGAACCTATTATATATATATATATACTGTGTGTATATACAAACACATATATTTAGATTTACTTATGCATC